ATTATAAATACAAAAAAATGGTTGGTCTAGGTAACGAAGAACTCGGTTCTAATATTGCCGACATAACTATGGATTTGGAAATGAATTCTGACGATGAGAGTGAAGAGAGCGATAATCAGAGATTAATAAGATCATCTATCAAGAAAGAAGCTGTTAATAATCATATGAAAAAGTTGACCGTACAAAAAGTTCAAGTTACATCTGAGGACGACAATGTTTGGTCAATATCCATTCAAATGTTTATACCATTTTTACTTGCCGGTTTTGGTATGGTCGCAGCTAGTCTTCTATTGGATGTTGTTCAAGTACGTGCGAATCAAGTATAATATTTAATATTAATAGATATACACACATTATTAATATAAATAATAATAATAATGTTTTATTTTACAGCACTGGCCAGTTTATCAAGTTGTTTCGGAAGTGTACATATTAGTTCCAGCGTTGTTAGGTTTAAAAGGAAATTTGGAGATGACTCTAGCATCACGTTTATCAACCCAAGCCAATTTAGGTCACATGGATACAAAGAAACAACAATGGACTCTGATAGTGGGAAATTTGGCTTTGATACAATGTCAAGCCATGGTGGTAGGGCTTTTGGCGTCATTGGCTGCTGTTATACTTGGTTGGGTACCTGAAGCGCATTTTGATATACATCATGGACTTTTGTTGTGCGCTAGTGCCTTGGTCACTGCTTCTGTAGCAAGCTTCTTTTTGGGACTAGTAATGGTAGCTGTAATATTATTTTCAAGACACATGAATATTAATCCAGATAATGTGGCTACACCAATTGCAGCTTCCTTAGGAGATTTAACAACACTAGCTCTTTTATCATGGATCGCTTCTATCTTGTATCATTCTATAGGTAAACAAATCTTAATGCTTATTAATTCAAATAATTAACACGATTTAATAACATTTTTACTATTAATCTTAAATTCCCATATATATATAACGTATCGGTGTAGGTAATGCCCCATGGATCGCACCAACATTAATTATTTTGTGCATCGTGGCAACACCTATTTGGGGTTATGTTGCTGCTAAAAATCCATTTACTAAAGAAGTATTGGATTACGGCTGGACACCTGTGATATCTGCTATGCTTATTAGCAGGTATATTTTGTTTATTAATTATTAAAATCAATGTTATAATTAATAAGAAAGTTTAGAAATCATATACGATTTCAGCTTAGGCGGTCTCATCTTAGACTACACGATATCCAGTTATAAAGGAATAGCTGTTTTTCAATTAGTTATTAATGGAGTCGGAGGAAACCTTGTTGCCGTCCAAGCTAGTAGAATTTCAACTTCGTTACATAAAGATTTTCGTATGGGCAGTCAAACTGCACCAACTATTTGTATAAGCCCGTTTCATGCATTTTTTGCTAAAGGTATCAAGTACATATATTATTTAATATATATATATCAAATTAAATGTAATAATTATTTAATTAAAATTGTATTAATTAGGAGGACACGCTAGAACTGCTAGAGTTCTGTTAATGATGGTTATACCAGGCCATTTAATATTTAGTTATACGATAAGTTATCTACAAGCTGGCCATACATCTTTCACACCAATATTTATGATAGTCTACTTAACTGTTGCACTGTTGCAGGTATATGTTGATATACATCAATCATTTTGATTTAATATAACAATATGATTTGTGCATATTTCAATCGTATTTTTTGTAGGTAATTTTATTATTGTATATTGCACAACTGATGGTAGTTTGGATGTGGACGAGAGGAATGGACCCGGACAGTTCTGCAATTCCATATTTGACTGCTGCCGGTGATCTGATAGGAACAGCTCTTCTTGGTATTGCCTTTCACATACTTTATGCTATCGGAGATGGTGATTCGGATGTTGGTGACTGATTTATCAAAATTATTATTGATGAATTTATCAAAGATGTCTTCTTTCTATTTAATTCAATCAATATATAAATATCTATGAACAAGTTCAAACTCTTTTAACGTGGAATGAAAAGAAAAAGAAAGACAAGAAAGAAATAAATGAACGAATGAATGAATGATTGTTTGATTGATTGATTGATTTAATGAATGAATGAATGAATGAATGAATTAAAACGAATGATACCATCAAATTATAATACAATAAGCCTAAAACAAAACTGTAAAACATTTTCATTCAGTGTTTTATCGAATTCCTCTATCGATATTATAATTGTCTATACCGAGGGGATSRGCMACMTGCGGCTCTTTTGATGTGAAGCTGCGGCTCAAAAACATTTAAAAATCGTTCTGAATCGATTAACGAGGATTAGGCATCGATGAATAAATAGATTAGTTTTTTTTTTTTGGTTTTGTTTTTATCAAAAAAACTTTATTCATGCGAGTTTTATTTTATTGTTGGCAAGAACAACAAATTTGGTGGCTCTTGAAAAACTTTGAAATTTTGTAAATTGTAATTTTTGACTCTTTCGATACAAATGGTTGCCAACCACCCCCTGGTCTATACTACGAAAAGAGTTTTAGACTGACTTAAAAAATATATATATATATATATATATACAGAGATGAATTTTTTTAATAAGATCAATTATCTTAAATAAATTCTTTAAATTAATTAATCGCATTTAGAAAGACATATTAAAAAAAAAGAAAAAAATAAGTACAATGGTATTGCATGTACAGAATAATCGGTATAAGCAAAAGAAAAATAAGAAGCAGAAGAAGAAGAAGAAGAAGATTTTTTAAAAATAAAGTATTAATCAAATAAAAATCAATATAAAAGCAATTTATAAATAATATTATCAGTCGTAGAATTAAATTAATATTATTAAATTTCACGCTAAATAAACGTGTGTAACACAACATGTAAATATCGATATAAATATTTATCTACTCTTTGTATATTATCGCTTAACGCATTCACATACGAACGACATATTTTTTCAAGTGTTAACGAGTGAATAAATTAACAAACAAAAAATTAAAAAAAACAAGAAAGGAGGATACAACGGATAAAAACAAAAATATAATAAAATAATGTAACATTTATATAAATGTACAGTAACGTATCACATTGGATGATGACACGCTTATAAAGCGTATATTTGTATAGATATTTTCTGATGAGGTCGATTTGACGTGTAAGGCGTATGCATTTGAGAGCTTAAATTGTGTTCACAATGAAGAAGAAGGTCAAATTTCCCCTTTATATATATATATATGTATATTTTGTTCTCTTTGTTACATATATATATATAATCGATATGTGATGATAAAAAAAAAACAAAGATTCCTGTTGTATTGTATTTGTCATGCAATAACAATATAACAATAACAAAACATAACAAAATACTGTGCATCCTATTACTTTTAAATACAATAGTTTGATTTATTATTATTATTATTATTTTTGGTAATGATAATTAATTACTATTTGATATTTTGAGAACACAATATTGTCCTATTATTTAATTATTTTAAAGTTATATTACGTTGTGATGATAAAAAAAACAACAAAGATTCCTGTTTTATTGTATTTGTCAGGCAATAACAAAACACAACAAAATATTGTGCATCCTATTACTTTTAAATACAATAGTTTGATTTATTATTATTATTATTATTATTATTTTTGGTAATGATAATTAATTACTATTTGGTATTTTGAGAACACAATATATTGTCCTATTATTGAATTATTTTCAAGTTAAATATACCACGTTGATGCCATAATCATATAAAATTAAAATAAAATATATTATTATTATTACTATTATTATTATTATTATTATTATTATAAATATGAAGGGTTCAAGGAGATGAAATATGTTTTGTCTAAATTATATTATTTTTGTAGTTTTAATTATAATTTCGTATGTAAAAAAAAAAAAACTATTGTTACTTAATTGAATTATTCTGTAATATATCGTGTGAAATTTACATTTAAAACAATTAACAAAACACAAAACATGTATAAACTATCTCTAAACATATTCTTTCCCTAAAAATCCTTCACATTTATCTGTATAAATATATTTGACAAAAAAATTTCATAGAAATGCAACAACAACAAAAAAAAAAAAGAAATCATTGAAAAATGAAATACATTTAATGTTAGTTTCGGTTAGAACTTGGTTTGTACCACCTATAAATTCATCTCAACATCGTCATCACTATCATCATCATCATCATCATCATCATCATCATCATTGTCATCATTGTCATCATCATCATTGTCATCACCATCGGCTGTGGTCAGTAATCGCTGAGCGTAATCGCTCAGCGCCGTTTTCATTCGCGGCCCTTTCAGTCTCGTCGTGTACTTCTCTTCGTTTCTCTCACGACGATCTACCCAACATAATTTTCTCTCTCTCTCTCTCTCTTTGTCTCTTTCTCTCTTTCTCTGTCTGTCTTTTATTCTCTTTATTTCTCTCTTTATTTCTCTCACTGTATCTCTGAATGAAATAGTTAGATCTCTCAGTGCCAACTATCCCTCCGCACCCGTCAGATTGCATCCTACCGTGTTTGAGAATCCGTTTCTATCGTTATCGTTCAAGAAGACATCAAAAGAAATACAAAATTGATATGTAATTGATATTAGAAAAAAAAAAAAAATAAAATAATTTAATTGCATTTTTTTAATGAATAATATCAAAAAGAGAAAAGAAAAAAGGTGTGAAAATGATGTATTTTTGTTGTTGTTGTAGTTGTTTTAGTATTTCAATAATAATGTAATTCAGGTAATAACGTGATTGATTTAATTGCAATAAAAAAAATAAAAGAAGCAAAATAATAAACAAATAATTAAAAGAAGAAAAAGAAGAAAAAAGCGATCTTGTTCTAAAAAAAAAAATACGCGTTTGAATAAAAAAAAAAAAAACAAAAAAAACAAACATTTCGATTCGTAGACGGTCAAATAATTTTGTTCATTTATTAAATGCAAGGTGGTAATAAAAAAAAGAAGAAGAAGAAAAAGAAGAAGAAGAAGAAGAAGAAGAAGAAGTGAGAAAAAGAAATAAAAGAATATAATAATATTAGAAATAATTTAATCTAATTATAAATTGAATAGAGATCCTATTTATAAAGTATAGTTTAAAAGTGTCAGTGTCGGTGTGTGCGACGACGTAGGTCGATGCAACGTTAAAATGTGGGAAGCTCGAGTGCATTTCTCGTTGCGAATAAAGAAAAAGTGTGTTCGGAGTGAATCGGCTTGTAGCTGACTATAACTTAAATCTGTGTGAGTAAAAAAAAAAAATAATACCTTATAAAAGCTTATTAATATTTATTATTATTATTTATTATATTTATTACATTTATGATTTAACATGTGTTATTATGATTAATTTAAAAAATAAAAAAGAAATAAATACAATTAAAAAAAGAAAGAATGAAGGGAACAAACAAATAAACAAAAATATACAAATAAAATCAATTGAAATTGGATAAATAAAATAATATTTAATATTGCATACGCATATACATATACATATATATGTTTATGATTACATGTGTTATTACAATTAATTAAAAAAAAAAAAGAGAGAGAATGATAGAAAGGAATAAAACAAAAATACAACAAATAAAAATAAATTAAATTGGATAAATAAAATAATATTTAATATTGCATACGCATATACACATTATGTTTATGATTAAATGTGTTATTACAATTAATTTAAAAAAAAAAAAAAGAATGAAAGAAACAAACAAACAAACCAAAATACAAAAATAAAATCAATTGAAATTGGATAAATAAAATAATATTTAATATTGCATACGCATATGCATAAACATATACATATACATACATATATATGTACATTTTATGCATGAGTATATATAATACAAAGTGAAAGTTTATTATTTGAATATGATATCTATTCTAAATGAAGGTGTGTATATTAATACGTATGTTAAGTTATTGGTCCTCACGGTCGAACTTAAACACGTGCAGTAATTTATCAATTTGTGAATATGTTACGGAAGTCCTTAGCGTTGGCCGCGAGTACTTTTATGTACTTATCAATGTGTTAATGTTTTTATAACAATTATTCACTTTCTTTATTCATTTTCTTCCTTTTCTTCTTCTTCTTCTTCTTCTTCTTTCTTTTCATATTTATTCAAAAATATACAACCAACACAGATAAAAATGAAGATTATTCATTTCTACTTATCTACAACTGTTTCTACCAACCTGGGACTAACTATGGGAACCCTTGTCCCATAGTTCAATGAATAAATATAAATTTTATTTATTTAATTATTTATTTATTTAGATTTTTTGTTTTAGCTTATATATTTTTATTTTTATATAAATATATCAATAGGAAGGATTTATTAGATAAAAATGTTGATATGGGAAGATTGTATGGTCATTTTGATAAAAGTATGTATCATGATCCTGATTAGTAATAGTTAGATTATAAATTATAAGAAAAAGTGTTATAAATATATTTGTAGGAGTTAGAATATATCCTTGTATAGTACATAGAAACATAGTCAATGTAAAGTCAGTAGAATCGTTATATGGTATGTAATATATAGTGAACGTTCCTCTCGTTACAATCCAAACGCCGGCTGAGTTACGTTCAAGGGTTAGCAATTGAAGAAGCAAGTGTAAGGTAGCCATTGCATAATTCTACCATCGAGACAATTTTCCTATAAATAAATAATAATTTATATCATAAAAATGTGATATATATATATATATATTAATTAGTAATTATTCACACACAAACAAGAAATGAAATAGAAAATTAATTAAAATGGTTAAGGAAAGTAAAAAAAAAAAAAAAAAAACCAAACTGAAAAAGATATCAAAAATAAAAATATTATAATTTATTAAATAATAAAAATAATATGTAATAAATTTTTATATCTATATATTTAAATTTAATATTATTATATTATATTATATTGTTATATATAATATATTATTAATATAATTATAAAATAATATTATATAAATAATATTATATAAATTTATAATATAATATAAAATTTAATATTAAAATAATTTAAATTAAATTATTTTAAAATATTAATTTAAAATATAATTTATAAATTTATAATAATAAAAATTTATAATAATATTATAAAATAATATTATATATTATTATATTATTTTATTAAT